ACCTCAAGCGTCTTTTCCGATCAAACGGCACACATCGGAGTTAGTAAGAGGTCAAAGATCAGACAGACTTGACGGAAGAAGGACAGTCAGTCCACCTGTTTCCATTCAGCCAGTGTCAGAAATGTGCAGACGGACTCAGTCTATGATTAGTAACAGGCGGAGATCAGAGGTGAGAAGCTCTTCTATCATGAACCAAGCTTTAAATCTCTTAAGATTTTGTGTTTTTTCCATAGTAATGCTCTATCACTTAAATATTGTTTTTGGTTTCTGTTTGTGCTTTTCTGGGGCCAGTTTCGGGATGACATAATTTAGTCACGGTTACATGTACCATCTTGCACGGCACAAGCCAGACATTAGAGGAACGGTTGATAGACTGTACAAGAGGTTTAACAGGCCCTCCACTTTTTCCTGGAGGGTTGCAACACAGAAAGCTGCTTTCACATTCAAAGTAAGGCTTGCATGTCATTAATCAGACAAGATCTCTTTCAACAAACTTTCACAAGACTGTCGTCTGCGCATGGGCTCATAAACCAGTCTGCCCAGTTAGCAGGCATGTGAAGAATGGATATAGGACATGTGGGGAGAAGTCTGTGGGTCTTTTTTTTTTCAGAATGTGAGACATATTTCGTTAATCAGAGGGCAGAAAAAATGTCTTGTTTTGGAAAATGATTTTGGGTGTACAAGATTGAGATGAATGGATTCAATTCTCAAAAAATGTGAAAACCAGTTCACGCTGACAGTGCACAAAGGTGAAGAAACAACTGGATTACCTGAACCATTTGAAAGCATTTAGTTCACAATGCTTTGTTTTTAGCCACTGGGTGTGTGTCATAAGTTTGTTCTTGTATTCGTTTGGCCAAGCTTAAATAGCTTTGGGTAATGCAATACAAGGAAGCTACTTAATGCCAAGCAGTCACATCTACATAACTATATACTTTTTTAATTACATGCAATCAGATGCGTATGAATGTGTCAGTCAGATGAATGTGGATATTCTAACTAAACAGGTTGTGATTTCTATTGTTAGGTTTTCATCTCAACTCATCTGAACTTAATAACTTGAAAAAGTAATATGATATATTGCTTCATTTAACATGCTAACACACTCAATTAGCTCCAAACACCACAGGCATGGTGAAATTAGGCCCCTAAGAAGGCGCTATGTAAAAACTTTGCAGAGAATCGCATACATTTTGCACAAAAAGTGGGATTTTCGTTAATCGGCAGAACTGCAGGTTAATCAGTTTAACTGTGACAGGAACTGTCAGAGCCAGTTCTCCTGGCAGTTAGCCACTCTGCCTCGTGGCCAAGAGGAAGCATTATAATGTAAAATGAAAAGGTTGATAGTATGACTGCCGCAGCTGTTTCATCTTTTGACACCTGTTTTAATAAAAGGTACTGACTCAAATTTCTGGCATGTGCAAATGTTGGCTTCACAGCTTGTAATCAAGTTTGCAGGGGGTTGCGGGACAGAAAATCCAGTTGTTGTTGGAGTTTTTTAAATAAAGTGTTGAGATGTTTTAAACAGGTATGTTTCATAGTGGCCTTGCGACAGACTGGCGACCTGTCCAGGGTGTACCCCGCCTCTCGCCCCATGACAGCTGGGATAGGCTCCAGCGCCCCCCGCGACCCTGAAAAGGATAAGCGGAAGTGAATGGATGGATGGATGGATGTTTCATAGTGGTGCTAAATTAAAAAAAAGGGGAATCATGGAAGAGTTTCCCACTCCCAGAAGTAATATCTGCACAAAATTTCCTTGCATGTGCGAAGTGTATTTGTAACAAAACAGCAGGATTTTTAAGTTAACATTTGATTTGCTCTTTGACATTTGCAGGGCTTTGGTTGCAATGAGATAAAAGAACTGAGTCCTGGGTTCATCTACCTGGAGCAGGTGTGTCAGAAGCTAGAAGATATTGCAAGACAGCAGATGGAAAACCGAGCGCTACAGATGGAAGCAGACGTCCTCGTGCAACACAAAGTCTTCCAAGTGAGCCAGGTAACGTCATTCATTTCTTAATGTATGAATTCAATTCAGTCCAGTCCAATTCAATTTTATGTATATAGCGCCAAATCACAACAACAGTCCCTTCAAGGCTCTATGATGTCTCACAGTTAAGAACTCGTAACAGTTTCAACAGGTAATAAAACTGACACGAGTTTGTCAGATTAGTGATGACAAATTATCCTGCAATCTGGAGACCTATATGAATTAAAAAGCTCACTTTTTTTTCTTTTAGACTCCTGACATCTGTCAGACTGACTCCGTAACTGCAGAGAAGGACTTAACCACTTGTCAAAGCCTTGAAGATACAGTAAATGTAGAGCATGTTAGCAGCGAACCCAAGCAGCGGAAATACGGACATTTTCGGCAGAGATCAGCTTCAGATACAACTCTTGCCATGATGCATTTAAGTGAGTTATCATCCTACTGTTGTTTTTTTTAAAAAAGCCTGATTACTTCTTGTGGTTGTATTTCTGTGCATTTGTTGAATAGAATGTGTACTTTCTGTGATCATGAAGCCTTATTTGTGTTCCTGCTGCAGAAAAAGTGAATGCAGGCTGGAGAGGGCAGCATATGAGTACACATGACCTGCTGGAGGAGCTTGAGGAAGTCCAAGAAAATCAGGTAGAACATCAGAAGTAAATAAGAAAAAATACATGTGTATATCATGAATTATAAGTGATAAGAAATATGTTATTTTATTAATGTACTCTTAATCTTCTTTTCCTCTTCAGGAATCCACAGAGAAGGAGACAAAAAAACCTATAATGAACTGGAGGAAAAAACTCCTGTCCTTGAGAAGAGAGGGGTCTAATGCTTCATATAAAAGGAGGTGAGTTGTGTTATTTATACACTGATGCAGTGGTCCACAGGTAATGGGTCATCGATAAGGAGGCTTTGGTGAGATTTTTGGTGTTGATTTTCAGACGATGCATCTGCTCCTCTTGAACATTTTGTTCTTTTTTTCATGAAACGCAGCACAAACGCAACCTCCACTTTCTGACGTTGACTCGTTTCATCTCTTTCTAATGAATTTTTTAAAGCCAACAGATGCAGCCATCTGAGAAAAACTCGACCCGTCGAAGGCTGAGCCAACTGTTCAAGAGGAAAGACAAAACTGTATAAATGGACCACAGTGTCTGGCTTGATGTTTCGATGTTAGAGATTCTGAGGAGAAAAGGCTTTTCTGCAAAACTACAAGCACTTTAACTGCTTTCAAAACTACTTCCTATTCATCCCTTTATGCACCAGTGTGCTGCATTATATACATGTAAAAAGTTTACTTGCTTTTTAAAAATTTATATTGACAAATAAAGGCAATTTCAATACTGTTTATTTGACTGGGAAGTAAATGGTTAAGTGGTTCTCTCATTATTTACAATTAGCACAACAAAAATGTCCTATGTTACTGTTTTTAACAATTAAAGCAGGCTATACTGCAAATGTCAAATAAAGGAATGATGAAAATACTTCACAGAAGTTCCAGAGTTTTGTCTTCTTGTAATTTGACAACACAAAGTTCATGTTGTTCATGTCTAAGAAGAACCATGATTACATAACACAGAGTTTCTGCTTAATGTGAAAACCTACCTTAGACCGTGCAGTTTAAACAATGTTGCTTTTTTCCTTCTTATTATTTAGAATTTTTAATCATCAGGAGTTCAAGGGTTACACTCAGTGACCTTTTCATAGACTCAACTTATTCCTTTCTTATCAGTTAATCACATGGCAGCAATGGACTGTATTCAGGCACGTAGACATGGTCAAGACAACCTGATGAAGCTCAAACCAAGCAGCAGAAGAATGGGAAAGAAAGGTGATTTAAGTGACTTACGTGCATGGTGTTGTTGTTAGTGCCAGATAGGCTGGTCTGAGTATTTCAGAAAGTGCTGATCTACTAGGATTTTTCAGCACAAACATCTCCAGAGTTTACAAAGAGTAAAGAGAAAATATCCAGTGGTCAGCAGTTCTCTGACCACAGGATATGTCAAACAAGAATGGCCTCATAGGAAGACAACATAAACAACAACATATTAATACCAAGGTGTGCCAAAGAGCATCTCTGAACATACAACATATGGAACCTTGAAGCAAATTTACTACAGACCACTGGAAAAATGTTTCCTGGTCTGATGACTCTTGATTTCTTCCGCAACCCTCAGATGGTAGGGTCAGAATTTGGTATAATCAACATGAAAACATGGATCCATCTTCACTTGTATGACTGGTTCAGGCTTTTGGTGTCGGTGTAATAGTGTTTTTTCTGTATTGTTACAGAAATACAATACAACCCACCTGAGTATTATTGCTGTCCATCCCCTTATGACCACGGTGTACCTATCTTTTGATGGCTGCTTCCAGCCGGATAATTAACCATGTCCCAAATCTCAGACCACCTCAAGGGATTGGCCTCCAGACTCCTGATCTCATTCCAGTAGAACACTTTTAGAAATAAGAAGCTCGTGGATGTGCAGCTGACAAATCTTTAGCAGCTATGTGATGGTATCATGCTAAATGGAACAAAATCTCAGAGAAATGTTTACACCACTTTGTTGAATCTGTACCACAAAGAATAAAGGGTGGTCCAAACCAGTACTAACATGGTATACCTAATAAACCGTCCAGTAAGTTTTTAGGAAACTCAGAACAGACTTGAACCAACTCATTACAGTATGTGGAAGATTTTAACCAACTGCCAAATGTATTGTTCATCAGTTGCTGTTGGACTGTTGAACTTAATGAATCAGCTATTTCAGATTTGGAGTAAATTGATTTTCACTACTTAGAAACTTTAACTATTCAATTTAAGGGTTTCATGGGCTAAAACTGCCTTTAAAATTTCCTTGCTTATCAAAAATTTTACACTTTTTAATCCAATTTTGGGGTTTTCATCTGAATGCTGTAAGAAACTGGTTTAGCATTCTTTTTTTTTGTACTTAAAAGTCAGTATTGTGAGTACCCTATGATTCCCACCCAACAAGTGCAGGCCACACAGAGGTACTTTTTCTCATTTAGATAATCTTTATTCACCTAGGTTGGGGGAGATGGACCTCCCCAGGCATTCCCATGTAAAGAGATGTCAACAAAGACAAACACGTCCAACCAAACGAGAGAGGGTGAACAGGATTCCAGTCCATACATAAAATACATTTATTTACTATTTATTGAACCACCGGCATCCATTAGTCCCACACAGCATCCATCTGTGCTATTAAATATATATAGATAACATCTATGGAGGGCTTTATTTACTGTATGTGTGAGTGAAGGAGGGAATTGGCAGAACAGGCAGAGCTTATAGACGAGGAGTGGTGGTGGTGGTGGTGGTAGAGCAGCGTCAAGTCATGCCTGCAGTGTCCGTCCTTGTCTACATGATGCCACAGGAAGACAAGGGGTTGGCAATCTGACAGGTGCAGGCTGACTGGCAGTACTGACGCACAGTCTGGTAGCAGCTGCGGTCGGCGTCCCCGCCCCACTGCACGGGCCCGTTGGGGTCAGAGGGCAAGCGGCTCAGGATGCTGGTGTTGATGGCCAGAGCAGCCAGGCCATAGTCAGTGAACAGCACTGTCTCGCGGCGACACGTGGGGCAGGAGATGAACTTGTACTTGGGACACGACTCGTAGAGGATCTGCAGGCATTCCTCGCACACTGAGTGCAGGCAGGAGAGGATGCGCGGCCGCTTCCCGGCGAAGTTGTATGTGTGGCCACAGGTAGGGCAATCCAGGGGCTCGCAGGGCATTACGGGTCCCGAGGAGGAGGAGGAAGAAGAGGAGGAGGAGGTGGAAGAGGAACGTAGCACGTACTGGTTGACTATGACGTCGTCCATCTTGTAGTGGAACTGGTGGTAGCAGATTTCATTGGCACTGGTTTTTCGCTGCGCCAGGAAGCTCTGTTCCCTGCGCATCACGGGGGCTGGGGGGGACACCATCGGCCTGGGAGACCCTGCTATGTCCAGAGTTAGGTCGCTGCAGGCCTGGTTGACGATGATCTCGCCCTCACCTCCACCGTCCCACGCCACTCTGGGGGGCGGGGCATAGCGTGGCTGGGTGACGGGCACAGGACACTCTCTGGGAAACTTCTCAGACTGGATGATCTTGACGGTGTCCATCGGGATGGTCACGGGCTGACGCCTGAGGCAGGACATTCGCACGGTTTTGGAGGTGGGAAAGAGAGGAGCAATGGCTCTTATCAGTGCTAGACAACTCTGCCTGGTTCTGTGCGACGGCAAAAAAGATTAGACTCCTTTTTTGAAGTCAGCCATTAGAGGGGACATGGGGACGGATGGTTCCCTCCATGTTTCCCTCAGAGATCCCCCACACCCTCCCTTGGTGGGCACTGTTGTCAGCCTGAGTCTTTATGAGGTGGAGACAGATAGGAGAGCTTTGCCAGAGCACCACAATCTGTAGCTCTTATTCTGTCACAGCTAATATGTACAGATGACTTAACAGTCCAGCTTACAGTGTCGGACCAGTGTTGACTACTTAAAGGTAGTTTTTTTGTTGTTGTTGCTGTTTTAACTCACTTATGCTGATGGTTCTCTGCTGTCTCTGATGGCTATTCACTCACAAGAACTGCTCAGCACAGAGATAAACACTGATAAATAATCTCATATGCACACAGATTCTCACATGTACACATACAGTACAGGTTTAGTGGAGGATTGGATTACAGGCAGTTCAGAAAGGTCCACGAGGTATTGTCTGAAACGATATCCTGTGCCCTGCTAAGGCTTTAGATATGTTTCTTGCTCAGCCTTGCTTAGCTTCCTGTTTTTGGCTGCGGATGTGTTACACATCAACTTGAGTGTGTGAGAACGAAAGAATAAATTCTTGGTCCAGGTTGGTCAGCTGACCCTGTGTGGCCCTTGTAAGCGCCTTGAGGCAACTGTTGTTGTGATTTGGCGCTATATAAATAAAGTTGAATTGAACTGGCTCAGTGATAAGAAGTAGCGAGGAGGCCTTTTATTGGAAGGTGCCATAAAAAAAAAGAAAATTAAAAAAAAGCTGTTGCAATGACTCCTTAAATCTCCAAGGCTCCTGAATTCCTCGGAGGTGGGAGTGAAGGGTGGTTTATTTGGACTTTCAGATAGTTGTCCCAGCTAAGCAGAAAGAGTGGTAACAGTTTGGTGCCTCAGTCCAATAACCGGATTCCTTTTGTCCATCCACCTGTGATCAGAAAGAAAAAGAAAAAGAAAATAGTTTTAGCATTGGTTCTCGAAAAATCCACGGTTGCTTTCTCTAAAATGGTGCCAAATATGTGCGTGTGACCGACCGGAATTTGTTCCGCTCTATCTGTATACTGATTGTTTTTCATTCTGATGACAGAGGATATCACAACAGTTCATTAAGGGGTAAAAAAAATGGTCCTACTTCCTTCTGCATCTTGACATTTGGCTCAGGTGAGTCGCTACAAAGACAGATAAATATCATGTTTCCAGACGCTCTGGGGCACAGCACAGGGAGCATGCCTTCCTGTGACTAAACACAATCAGCACGCTGCCAGGTCTGAAGATCGTGCTGATATTTAATGTGCAATGGCGAAAGAATCACAAACACAGGGCCTGGAATGAGCCTAACAAAGTTACCACTCAGTGTATGCCTTTCTTTATTCTTTTGAGCCTCTATCATTCAGTGTAGTAGACTGCACTAATGTTCTGGTAACACTGCAGCAAGGATTGAAGAAGCACTGAGTCATGAAGTGCCTCAACATAGTGCTGATAATCTTGACCAGGGGGATTTCATCAAATGTATTTTTTATTTTTGCCTTCTTATTTTAGGCTTACATGACAAGTTTAAAGATAAACTGAACATTTGTGCCACCCCAAGCAAAGCAATCACCTCTAAAATCTTCTCGCAGCTTTCAAAAACACTAGTGTGTACCTATATCTTCTACATAAAGTAAACGGTGCTGGGAACTGGGTGCACCCCCCCCAGTAAATGTAACTGACATGTATTTTAAGTCATAGCTTGCTACACCGTGTGGTTAGAGCAGGTGATTGTGCCACAAGTTTCAGGCCTACTCTTGTCACTCCTCCTGCTTCCTGTCAACACCCAGCCATCATCTGAGCTGCGTCAGTCCGACTCCAACACGCGTGGGAACAGGTTACAATCAAGCAATGGGGAGCTTGTGTCATACCGCGTGTGGGTTTTTTGCGAGAAAGAACAAATGCACAGATGAATTTTTTTTTAGCTTGACCAAAACAAAAGCTGTCGAAAAGCAGAAGAGGGAGGATGACACATCTTTCATTCTCCGCGTGGCTGTCAGCGGTGATGATTCATTAGAGAGAGAGGGAAAAAAATGAGCAGAGGAGGTGACCTACATGGCGAGGAGGAAAAAAAAAGACACATAGAGAGAGAGAGAGAGAGAGAGAGAGCACAGCACAGGTCCTGGTTTCTATTTCTGGGTTGTTTATCTATTCACTTCTCAGTGGTTTCCTGCCCCCAACCCCTGCTGCAGATTCACGCTGAATGAGGAAGATGTACGCAGACGGCGGAAGTCTTTAGCTCATTACTCTGCAGCGAGCCATTTTAGGCTTTGTTTCTCCCATTTATCTGCTCTCTATTAATCTCTTGTCATACTTGCACACAGGCATAGGTGTGGGCAAACATCATTCACAATTACACCATCATCCAACACTGCAATGCCACAACACTCCTCCCAAAAACAGCCTTTCTCATCCTCTTGCGCACACAATCAACATTAATAAAATGTGTACATTTCACAAGGCTCGGTGGTGTTGGCAGTTAAGACAAAGTGCCATCTCATTTTCATTTAAAATCCTTGATTCTTTCAAAAAATATTTACGTGGGAATTCTCAAAGAGATAAACAACAAGAATGTACATGATATAGTTTACAGACTTTTATTTGCGCCTTCTTTTAGACAATGTTAATGCTGTGGGACACGTTTAACCGATTTCCCAATTCGTTTAATAATTGGCATAAAACTTTTGTTAAAGACAAAATATTTGTACAATTTTTCTACTAGATATCAAACTTATTTCATGGATTCAGTATATTTAAGGTCAGGTGCAAAGACCAACTTTTTTGCTTTCTATACTTTATTCTTCGATCGTGTCTCTGATGCTTTGTTAATTTCCAGCTTCATGTTTTAGTGTCTGGATGTTGTGACAGTAGCTTTACATGATTCAAAGTGTAAAATAATCCTTCTTTATATTATACCAGGCCTTCATGGAACTCTTCCACTGATCCTCTGTCTCTCTCTGTGCTCTTACCCACCCACCCCAGTTAAAGAGGATGTACCTCCATGAGCTAGCTTCTATCAGATATCATTCCTGCTAAAAAAGAGGTCTTTCCTCCCTACTGTCACCAAGTTAGTGGGACTCTTTCTCTAATACTGCAGCGTCTTAGTCTTATAATACAAAGCACCTTGGAATGAGTGTTGTTGTGCGGAGGCATTATATACATATATTTATCAAAAGAAAGCAAAAAAGAAGGTGCCGAAATGAACCATTTGGGCTTCACTTTAATGCCACTGTCACTTTAGGCCCTTCTTTTGACTGGTGGCCCCTCTGCCCCTCTCCAGCAGCAGGTGGGTGGAGCTGATTTGCTAACAGTGAAAGCAGTGTGCTTAACATGACCATATTTAGAATGTGCCCTTTCTTTGACATTATACAGAGCCACTAACAGAAAAACAACCTGAAACAAAAGTTTACAGCAGCCTGAGCCCTGAGCTCATCATTCACAGGGATCCTTTGTACTTATTATTTAAAACTTCAGCTATGTTTGACATGAATAGACACTAATGTAGCATATATACTGTATGAGCGAAAGTAAATAATTTAATAGGTCTACTTTAAATCTCGTTTTGTCCATTTTAGACTGCATTTTACTTAGACAAGTTAATTCCCTCTAATCTTATAGTCTTATCTACGTTTTCACCAAATGTAGCTTAAAACACAAAATCTGTAGTAGAGCCTTAAAAAGATGAAAACAACAACAACAACAACAACTATTACTATGCACCACAGCAGCACAAATAAACTTTGTCATATGTTCACATATAGATAACACAGAAAATATCATTATCTAAAAGTCTGAAATTTCTATTTGGATCAAATGATTATTAATCAAAAAAGATCTTTCATGTCTAGACTGAGCTTGTAAAAATAACTCTGACAATGCCAAGGGTCAATTTGATAAAGTATCTAGACTGCATGAGGATCCTTTGAGCCTGGGGGAGTAGAAGAAGCTAAAATTACCCTCTAATTTGGTGACAGTGTTACGAAAAGGGCTGATAACGGATGCAGATTGCTTGCTGATGGGCCAGCCTTGGCGCAGCCTCCTCCTAACCAACGGAGCCCTCTGCGGTTATGTAAGGAGCTCATCTTCTACCAAGACACCATATTAACAGTGCAAACTGCCCTACACAGCTTTGACACTGTTTGTGTGTGTTTGTGTGTGTACATAGCTGGATCTTCCTGCACAGGAATTATTACACTAATGAAATCATGGCAGGCATTTGACCTCATCATCACAAGCACGAGGAGGAAAAGCAGAGCTGACCACAGAGATGTTAGAGGAGGCTGCCTCAGCTGCACATTCCTCATACCATTAGAAGACACACAGAGCTGCATTCACATTTCTGACACACACACACACACACACAGCACATTCTCACCAGCATACTCCCCATCACGTACAGGGCACCACCCTTTACATTCCTGGACACACAAACAAACCAGATAACTGGCTGATAACTGCCGCTAAAATTAGGATTTTTAAACGTCTCGTATACTTAGTGGTGGATTTATTAACACACATTTACGTAGCGCTCTGCTCTGGTCCTCCTGATCACAGTGGATAGATTCCACCTGTGCACTTCGGAGTGCAGGAGAAGGGCACCATGTTCTGAATGAGTCATAGAGACGATGCGCGAGTCTCCATGTCTGTCTGTCTCATTTTCTCAGTGAAAATCTGCCTGTCACCGTTTCTGTCTCCCATATATCTGTCCGGATGGAGAGAGCAGAGGATTGGGTCATCATGCCCCGATACCTCATACCAGTAGTATGTCAAGTATGCCAGCTATGTTGAAATTTGCATCTACATTCGTACCCCGGCTGGTAAAAAAAGCCAAAGAAACAAACTTTCCAGTCGGACCCGTGTGAAATATTATGCTCTATTTTGATTGCATAACGTGTGGTGACCTTAGCGGGCACTGAGGGCAAATCCCCAGATTTACTGTATGTTTGCTGGCTGCAGCTTTTCTCTGCAAATTATGGAGTTGCTGATTTGAAAGTATGAGTTACTCCTGTGGTTTATTGTGGTTGCTAATTTATAAAGACAACAGAGCTTTTCTCCTGTTTACATTCCTGTTTTTCTTAATATTTTTAACCCCATTATATGCGACATATAGATGTCTAATTTCCTGGCTTTTGGACACTCATTCACTCATAATCCAATAAAGTGCTGTCAAGCTAATAAAATTTAAATGACAGCATTTAAATACATCTCACTGTTATTTGCTGGATTTTTAGGCACATGTTTGTAACCATCCATCTGTCATGTTTACAGTCAGCTGACTGACTGGCTGAATGCAGTCTGATGTTTGTGTTTTTAGATGAGTGCTCTGTGCATGAGCGGCGAGGTGTTGTTTTTAATAATTAAGCACGCTGCCATTCATGGCAGACATCGGCCATTTTCCTTCACAATTTATTACAGCCAAGTGCTCTTTGTTCTCATCTGTGTAGCTCCCACAGCAACATGGCAGAGCCGCACACAGGCAGTAAAATAAAAGCAACAACCTGAATGTCTCATGCCTCACACAGACCTCATACAAGAATTATGGGGGGGTGAGCTCTTCAACAACAGTGGCTCGATTGACTGAGGCAATTGATTTTTTTCCTCTTTAAAGAGGCTGTCTCGGCACATGTTTAAGGCTGATGGCACTGATGATGCTCCGGAGGGACTAATGTGCGTTGGCCAAAATGTTCGGACTGTGTGAGATGAGCTCGCTTCAGTGTGCTGGTTGCATGTGGGAGGGGTGCGTTCGGGAGCAGCAGTTATGCAATCACAGCATGGTGGTGTACCGCTTTCTCACTGCGGCGCCAATGTATGGCCAATACGGAGATGCTGACAGCTACAGAACAGCGCGTTCCTGCCCCATCCCTGCTACCACTACCCTTCCTCCTCCTGCCCCTGTTGTCCATCCACGCAGAGGTCTGTCAAATGTCAAAACCAGAGACAGGAAAACCTGAATATACTGTTAACACGCAAACTCACACATGCTCAGGCTCTGTTCACAGTTTCCAGACAATGTTTGTTTGTGCTCCGTGCAGATAAATACGCAGGCAGGTGCAGGTCCCATTCTGCAGACGCGCACGTGTGTCTCCATTCATACATCCAGGTGGGTGTGTGTGTCTGCAGAACGGATGGCCATGATGCAACACTCACACAAATCCCAGCTTAATGTAACAAAGCAAAAAAAATAAATAAATAAATAAAGCAAAGCCTGTCTATTTCATTCAAGCACAAAGACAAAAAACAAAAAGTGTGTATGTTGCTATGAACGCAACATACACGAGCCACACCTCTCAGAGCCTAAATATACAGGTCACACAGATAATCCGAGGAGCAACACAGAGCGAAAACCTGAGCGTCTTCACCATGAAGCATACACCGAGCCTCACCTGCCTGTCTACGCAGTTGTCTTGTTTCAGTCCTGTCTCGCCGCCACGTTCCTGTCTTTCTGTTTTTGCTGTGATATCTTTCGTTCTGTGAAGGTAAAACCAAACCGTGTGGTCTCTTTGTTCGAGGGAGGACGCTCTCTCTCCTCTCAGTCTTCTTCTTGAAGCATCAGCGACTAGCAGCAGCGAAGGGAGGCATCAACGGGGAAGTAAGATGGAGGAAGCTGCTGCTAGGTGGATACATCACGTCTCTGGGCTGCTTTCATCGACCTCCACATCCCTTGTTTCGTTTCTCTGGAGCCTTTCGTCCTTCACTCCACTAACCCTGTTTCTTCTCCTCTGAGCTGTGGCTGAACGTCTGCCTCCGGTATCCTTTTCTCCATCCCTTTTTTCCTCTTCCTCCTTCAGATGATACAGCTCATTCTGTGCACTGATATGAGCTTCTGTGCTGTGACTCTCATATGTCTCCTTCCCTTTCTTTCTTCCTTCCTTTCTTCTGGTTTTCAGGTAAACCTCACTTCTCCTCCCTTCCGTCTCCCCTGCTGTTCTCTCTCCTCTTGGCTCCACTGCCGTTCATCGCTGCTCTTTCTCCTCCTCCGTCTGCTCCCGTCAGTGCACCTCACAGTCACACATGCGCAGTGTTTTCACACATATACACTCTCTCTCTGTGCTTCTGGCTCCCTCCTTATGCATGTGGCTTATTTTGCCTGCCCACCCCCTTCTCTCTCTCTCTCTCTCTCTCTCTC